GAGAAATGGAGGCACTCCGTCCTGCCGACGCCACTTACCTTCTTGACATGCTGATCTTCCCCAGACATATGAATACGTGCAGCAGATGCTCCTCGGAATGTGACGAGTGACTGAAAACACCAAATAATTTGTAACTACGACCTTGACTTAATGGTGGAATTGTCAGTTACTTGTAAGCACCTAACTTAATCACCTCTTTAACTGGCCTCCTACTTTTTGAAAAATAAAAGACCGATCGATTTACCCCTATTCGCAATTGCCCGTAATTGATGGGACATTGATTTCAGGAATCTTTCTTTCGAATCGATTCTTTCTATATCTGATAAGCAACAGGGCCATCTCGATAGGACAGCAAACTTTTGTGATACTGTATGCAACCCAGTACAACATCACCCAAAAACAGGGTCATGCAGTTTGCGTTTGAGAGAAATTGTCTGTTGCATCACAAATTTACAGGAGAAAATCATTTATTTCAAATGGACCACGAGCTTTGAAAGCTCATGCACTCTCTTGTGGCTTCTAGAAAACATCAAGAAATTTTTAGGCAAGAGAGGTAGAGCGATAGAAGAGCAAGTTCAACAGAAACATTACCTCTGTGGCAAAGACGGGCACTTCTTTGGGTTCGTCAATGTCCAAACAGAATCGTTCAATTTTCTCCGTCTTCCTTAAAATCAAAATCTTCCAAATAGATAAGTGACATTAGGTTTCTCGGAAGGTATTTTCCAGATAATTTGTTTGAAAAATTCTTTTATTCGACTCACGTATTGTTACCGCCATAGATTGTTAGAGCGCCTTCGATCAATGGCAAGGGGTCTTGACACCTCAAAAGACAGAGAGATATTTTGGAAACATACTGTGCTTGGGTACACGATTGACGACTTGGGCTAACATCTGCCAGTCTGGTGTAGCATGGCCAAACTGCACTGGCGTCCAGAAACCTGCCTCATTTTTCCTGCTCTGTTCAGAACAATTCACATCCACATAGGAGGTACCCCAGCTTCGGCTACAGCTTCTTATCTACTCTAGCGAACGGCTAGGAGAAGTTGTTTGCATTATGAGATGTATTTATTATCAAGCATGGGGAAATCATTAGGTCTCGCTGGTGCTTTCACTAATTCTTAAATGAATTCGGTAAAGACATAGAGGGAGAAGGTCATGACGGATTTGACAAGAATGCCTTTCCACCGCTCCAGCTCCACACCGCGGTCAGGAAGCTCATCTACCCACTGCTAAGCGGTAACGTTGATGAAATGGAACATATGCACACATAAAGAAAATTGCCATCTACAATGACATGAGGCATCGTCCCGACAAAAAACTCAGAATAAAAGCGCAGTAAAGAATCGAAGGAAGCTAGATAAAGAGCTTATCTGAACCAGCTCTGTGTTCCCGTGCCGCCTCACCATAACTTCTGCATAGTATCCCAAGATGTCTAATTCAAAACATTCGCTTTTGTTCATTTTCGACTACTTCATGCCGTGTTTGGGTCTCATTGCCCTAGCAACTCGTACACCTCCCGGAATGGACCAGAACGATCCGATTAATGTGGTTCCCACAGATACTGCCGGTTTGCTCTTCGCCTTCAAACTACCTACCATCACCTTTAAGTTGTACAGGTTCGCACAGAACGGGCTTGAATTCTAGTTGAAGGTTTGGCCTCTAAAACCGTCAGGTAAATTAGTTAAGACCCTTCCGGCATATACTGCTGAGGCACCTCAAACAGGAATATGCAGCCCTGATACGAAAAAATCGAAATACTAACGTCAAGTTATTTATTGCTCTCGGCATCCACTTCTTTTCTGCTTGTTGTTCATGAGCATTAGGTGTTATGTACTCTTTCAGCGTATAAATAAGGTAGTATCCAGGAGGAGCCTGAAAAACCAGGAAAAATTGAGACCAGTTCAAAAATTTTTCAGCAAATTCTCTAAAAGTTGTAAGGAAGACAACTATAGGATACCTTGAAGAGCCACTGGCATTCTGTGCCTCGTTCATACTCGTCTGGATAGCGCGGAGAATGAATCGATGACGGTTGGGTAGATGAGACTAAATTGAAGTATGTGCAAATCAAATATGGAACCACGGCTGCTATACTGATAGATCCTAATCTGAGCCCTTTTTGACCCGNATACTAACGTCAAGTTATTTATTGCTCTCGGCATCCACTTCTTTTCTGCTTGTTGTTCATGAGCATTCGGTGTTATGTACTCTTTCAGAGTATAAATGAGGTAGTATCCAGGAGGAGCCTGAAAAACCAGGAAAAATTTAGACCAGTTCAAAAATTTTTTTAGCAAATTCTCTAAAAGTTGTAAGGAAGACATCTATAGGGTACCTTGAAGAGCCACTGGCATTCTGTGCCTCGTTCATACTCGTCTGGATAGCGCGGAGAATGAATCGATGACGGTTGGGTAGATGAGACTAAATTGATGTGCAAATTAAATATGGAACCACGGCTGCTATACTGATAGATACTAATCTGAGCCCTTTTTGACCCGACCCACTCGTCCCTACTGTGTCCCCGGTGTAGAAACTCTTCAACATCATACTAGCATGGTCGTGGACAATGCCTATGTGATTACCTTCAACGATTCCTCCGCATTCGTCCTTGTTACTGCTATCAGCGTTCACGAAAGTCACGTTTGCCGTGAAAAAGTTCCCATCAGAATCCGGCATGATAGATTTGAATGGTAACTGGAAAATAAGTATATCGGCCGGACGTAGGCCCCCATACCATTGATTGAGTTTGACCGTTCCTCAATTTCATTTGCCCATTCATCTTGGAAAGGGTAAAAATGACAAGAGGTAACCAGTTTGTTGCTCTAGGCTTTGAGTGCTTTCTGATGGGACCCCTTTGTCCAGATATTTCATCCATCTAATGCAGAAAACAGGTTTACATCTAAGGGAGCAGCAATTATGCTGCTTCAAAATTCGATGCCCTTTTAAAGACTCGTCGCTGGGATTTTGAGCTGGGTTCCGAGGTAAAACTTTGAGGAATCGTATAAAATGAGAGAGCTCAGTTCACGTAAAAGGAGGATTTGGTGGAACCAGCCTCTAATGCTCGCCCTCTTCCTTTCGTCCTATTTGCAGGCGAACTATAAGTCTTACTGTATTTTTGTATTTACTTTCCAACGACTGGATATCACGCTCAAAACCAATTTATAACTAGTACACGGACTATTTTTTATAGAATTTACATTGCTTGATACACACCCTAACAGGATTGAACACAAGATTGAGGAAGTACCATTCACGTCAAGGTTGGAGCAGTACTTTTCATTTCAAGGTTGAGGGCAGTACCTTCTGGAAGCCTAACCTAACTCACCTTTAACATCACGAACAGTTCATTTGTATGTGATCTGTAAGTAGAGTCCTTTGTACTGGTACAGATAGTATTCTGTGGATATCCAGAACGATTCGAACTGCCGGCGAATATCTGGAGAAAAGAACTGAAAATATGGTCAAGAAGCGATGAAATATACAAGCGTACCGCCACTCCGTTGAACTCGTCAACTTGTCCAGCGTATTGACAATTCACATCGGATTTTTGGAAAACGGATAGGGTGTTTACGTTGAGTACGATTCGTTGACCGATAGGAGCCTAAAAATAGTAATTAGTATCGTGAGCCAGCTCCTAAGTCTCTTAATCGTAATCTATTTAAACTTAAAAGAAATCGCCTCGGCTAATTGGACACAGAGGTACCATAGGACACAGAGGTACCATAGCCTTTAGTCATGAATTCGCAAGGCTAAAGATATATAATTAAGGAGTGGTAATTCTGATCTTCTAAAGCCCTGGAGAAGGGGTTCCTGTCAGGTTAGTGAAGTTCAGTTCTCCGTAAAAGGTCCGCTTGGTTTCGTCCCACCGACTCACTGGGAGGGTTCAAACCACCTACCTAATGGGAGGTTCATAACGTGAGCAACAGCATAGGGTATAGCCCAGCGGGGGGCGGGTGCAGTGTCCACCTCAAGAGTTTTGGAAACAAGGACGAATTAGTATAGGATTCTAATGCGTACTGCTACAACTTAACATCTTCATACCTACCTTCTTAACTATTGCTTACGGTCACCGAATTGCTCCACAACCGATAAGTTTGACCACTGTGGGATCTATTTTCAATAAGGTGATTGACCAGTATGGCAGTCAGAAAGAGTACAGTACCTTGATTTGCCATGCACACTCATACAAATCACTACTGGAATCCATTTGACGAATGGATGCATTGATGGTTGACGGAATGATCAACTTTCCTCCACAGCCTGAATAATCAATATATCGATTTTTCTACAGTAGGAACACTTATAAACTCACCTATCGTTGTCCACGTAAGCCAAAAATGATTTTGTTCTTGTCTCTTCGACTGATAGGTAATGTGCAGTACGTTATGCTTGGTCTGAAGAAGGCTGATGGGGCCTGCTAGCGGTTGGCATAAAGTTACAGAAATTTAAATCTACAGTACCTTTACAACCATTGGTTTGACGACATCAGAGCAGGTTTCCATCAGCTTGAACACTTGTCTAACTCCAATGACATCCTTTATAGTTGCTGCATCGACTTCATCTTCACCAAACTATAAACCCGTGCCTCGACCAATTCGCATCAATCAATAATCGTGCACCTCATACCTTCAGCCAGTTCTCCGAGCATTTGTCCAAGGTACTACCGTAACGGAACCGTCGTTCAATAACGAAGTTGTGGAAATTGACTTGTATACGGTTACCAGGTGGAACCTATGCAAGAGCAACTCAACTTTCACTCTTTACTACATTTTCCATCAATTTCTAATTTATTTTTTAGCTTTCCATCAATTTCTAATTTATTTTTTAGCTTCATCTGGAGTGTTTCTCACCAAAATCGTCCATGAGCAGTATTGGTTTGTCCATACTTTATTGGGATAACCTGGAGACTGAATGGATCCAGTAAAGTCGGTTAGAACAACGTCCGTGCACACTGAAACGTTCATTGATGGGTAGTACTTTGAGATAAACCTAATCGATAAATGAAATCAATAAAGTGAGGTGCTACCGGTAGAAAAGTGAGCCATGAATCCATAAAGTGGCCCAAGCATTGGACCACCATGTTGTTTGTATCGAATGGAGATTTCGTGGTCATCAGATGTCAACGGTTCGGCTCCGACCACTTTACGACAGTATCGGCGCATAAGGCGGGCATCGCTGTGAGGACCGTCGAGTACCTATGAAACCAATAATTGAGGTAGGTAAGAGGAATTTCCGACTAATGGCTATAAGGAAAATGGAAAGGTGATGGAAAGGTAGCAGAGTGTTCAATGTATTTAGGTTAGCATTGCTAATAATGTTTGAAGAATTTCTAATCAAAAGTTGCATATAGGAAATAAACGAGCTTAGGCCGAGTAAATGGCCTGCTAAGATACGTACATATGTACAGTAGCGCTCGAGACGGGGGCAAATGCTTCTCCAGGCGTACCTCTTAGTCGTAACTCCTTTATTACTGGATATAATCACGCGAAATTTCGATATGTGTAGCATGGGTGTATTGCGAATATTTACCACTATACACCTGCGACCTGATAATGTTCCAGATATCCCAAAGGTTTGAACTCAAAATCAACTGGAATTACGGATGATGGTCTTCCTGTGACTTCTTTCCTATTTGCTATATCCAAAGTGTACATGCGCTAGTGCCGAACACAGCGAAAGAGAAAAACGCATATAAAGTGCTAATAACTCCAGACGTCGCTAACTTTGCTTTCAGCGAAGTCTACTACCGCAACAAATACCTTCCCTTTAGTTGAGTGGATATTGCTGCTTTGCAGTTAAATAGTACTGGACAGTCTGAAATGTGCTTCAGTTGAACATATCAGTATTTCGCTCGAATTGCTCCACTAAAAAAAAGTTACGGCCAAGAAAGCTTTTGGCCAAGTACTTTCGAGCACTGCTGTGTATATTAGGAAAACCAAATCCGGGATCTATACCTTCCTAGGATAACCGAGCCTTCCATTCGTTCGGGATCACTTGGCTGGTTCAATATAATATAGCGTTGCTGAGTGTTACAATAAGATTTTCTGATCAGAGTGCACGTGAAAAGAGGGAAGCTCGGGTGAGGTCGCCATCCGTCAGGTTGTTACCTGCCCGGCTGATCAAGCCCTACATTAGACTAATCTGTTTCAGACCTGTATGAGATGACGAAATCTCTGACGAGTTCATCACCTAGCTCCAGAAATTAATTGTATAGGCCTAACTGCCTAATAAGCATGCAAAAGCACCACATTTCTGAGTGAAAGTTGAGTAAGCGGCGTGTTCCATAAACGGAGTTGATCAACGTTGGAAAATTTCCTTCTCTCTCCTCTGAGTACGAGTAAGCGACGCTTGTTCTACTTTTAGCGAGAGAGGATCACCATCAAGTTACTTTTCGGGTCCCCCAAACGCCTGCGACCTTCTATGCCACTTAGTTGTTCTGGAGCCAATTTTGGATTCATTGAGAAATCATTTGACCGGAAGATTGTTGACAAAGCACTCAAGATGGAACTNTGGACGACCAGCACGTTGTGAAACCTACATCGAGCCGATTTGCGGCGAACATTCCACAGAATCCACTGTCGTCACTTGACTTCAGATCGTCGATGTTAATGAGTGAGAAGCGAACACGATTGCCTGAATGATTCAGAGTTAGTAACATTTCCCGAAGTCCTCCATCTCCATTTCAACGGCTAGCTGCTTCACTGAAACTCGTTCTATGAGAAACATATACCTAGCGCCACGGCTACAGTCCATGAGCAATCCAAACCACGGGAGTCTTTCATCGGGTACTGGGGTGCCGCTATGGATCCAGAAATACCTTCGACATGACCACCACAAGCTTAAATTGATAGCTCCTCAAGAGAGAAAAGAGAACAAGAGGTACAGTATAGGATTACATGAAATTATTTGCTCGTAGCTGATGTTGAAGTAGGTTTTGGATGAGTCTGTGGTTTGTAGTCTCAGTAGAACTCGACTGCCATGTGAACGAAGAATAGGCATCGGGTAGTCGTCACAAATAGACGAATCAGCGTTCAGCGTGGCGAATCCCGGTGACTGGTCACTAGCTCCGTTCCTGTAGCATTATTACAGTAACCATGACGATTGCAGTAATAAATGGTTCCATGATTAATCTTCCCAAGAGCGAAAGGTAGACAAATACTTCGTAAGCAAAAGATTCTAACAGTTTTTGCAATTTGCACACGGCTAAGAAAGAAATGGCAAGGGGCTAGAAATTCTGCTTCGCACACGCGTGGTTTTAGGGGCAACCAGAGTTTGGATCAGCCAAGGTCTACATCATTACCCTGGTCACGCATGTCAGTGCCAAAGTAAACTCCTCTATGATCAAGGGCGATCCTTTAGGCCATGAATGGAAATCAAACAGGGTAAGCAAAGGAACTGATTTCTAAAGGCGACTACGGAAAGAGGTAACGTCCTGCAGGACAGGACGTGACGGCAAGTAAAGCTTTGAGGGAAGCCTTGAAGTTCCCTGATCTAAAAGGATACTTCTCTTGCTGCATTTATTTATTTAGCTATTCGTCTATTAGCAACAAATGTGAAGAGCACCATCATTTATATTTACAAATGCTGAAATCGGGATAGTACCCACAAATTAGCCATTGCCCAGGTTGTAATTCTTGGGAATTACGACTCAAATACAGCTTTATTGGAACTGTAGCTGTAGCTGTATTGGAACTATGCCGAGGTTCATTGAGAGTCGAACATGGCAACTACTCAAATAGATTTGATCTCTAGGGTACAACTTTTATGAACCTGAAGCACATCATCCTTCCATCCTCCTTCTTCTCACTACAAAATTAAAACTGTTAGAAACGATGTAAGAACTCTACAGTTCAGTGGGTGCCTTTTGGGATAAATTATTTTGGGCAAGCCCAAAGTTGAAGCATTTACAGAACCGATATTCAATACAAAGCCCAATTTTAAGGTTGGCCTGAAGGTACCCACAAAGGTAGCTTACTGAAGGATGGAACACATTTGTGGGTTCCTCTAGGTAGTTATTGTACTCAAGGGTTTCACGTGGGCGAAAGAGAAGAGCTCAAACCAGTATATTACTTGTTGGACGAAGAGCCCTTTCTATTTTGAATAACTCGAGAATCCTACCTGATATACAGAAGAGACTTCATGCATGGCATGCTCATGTTATTCATCTTCAAGACTATTCGAGCTGTCGAAATTACCTGAAAGTAAAAATTAAGTTTTGGAACTAAAGCTACTTTGACATACTCAACTGCTGTTCAAGGAACTTCTTCCAAAACTGGTATCACTTACAGAAATGTGGAAATCGCACTGGGAATAGCGTCCGCCTTTCCCGTCAAACACGATCTCTCCGCTTGGCGCCGTGAATGTACGATCACAATCAACTGTCGAATCGACCCCTTCGAATCTGGAAGATTTGTGACTAATTACTCAAATCGATATGCATCAAACATGCTCGTCCTGGAACTTTTGCAAAGGAAATTACATTAGTGAACCTTTCAAATGCATAGATGTAATGTATGTATTGAGAACCAGAACCCGCAGAATGAGAAGGAAAGGAAGAAAGAAGAGAATGGAGGATCACATTACTACTGCAAGCTCCTCAAGGGCAGTCTTACAAAAGCTGTTGAAAACTTAAATCTCCTGGAGTAAAGGGCAACTCCCTGCCAAGGTTGGCTTGCTAATTATCAAAATTCAAGAATAAATGTGCTCACCTCGCAGAAAAACCGTTGCCAGCTATTGAACGATCAGAACTGAATACTATGGCCATTTTATAAGAGCTCGACAGTAGTGTTGGAGGAAGCATGGTCCCGCAGAATCTGCAAAAGGGCTTACTTGTTGAGGCTCCCACTTCATTTCCATGGCAGAAACCAGACTTTGGTTTCGACAAAATCTAGCTAAAAACGGGATGAAGAAAGTTCGTACAGTTTTGTTCAAGCTGTTTAAACTTTCTTCATCTTGCTTTCACCTAAATTTTGTAGAGAAAAAACAGTCAAAATAACGGTTACGTCCTATTTTCACTGGTCCTTTCTCTACTGTAAGGGTCTCAAATATATAAGGTAAGCGCTTAAACGCAATCCATTGGTAGAGCGCGAACTAATTTTTAAATGAAAGCTTTGATTACAGGGAGCGGAGAACGACGATTCGTCGGACATTGCTGTGGATGATGGGTCGACGGACAGCAGTTCGCTAAGGCGGCTCCCACGGCATGCATACTATTCCCTTGACAATGAAGCAACATATTATACTGTACTATAGCATATTTGTATCTGCACGTGTACCGCACTCCCTCATCCTACCTCTATCGTACCACTTGTTACACCCTACGTACCTGGGGATTTATTCAAGCATCAAGTTCCGAACAGAAACTCGTCCACTTAATTTGCCGCGGACATTTCCTCTTAAAATGTTCATGTCTAGAGGAAGCAACCTTTGTTGGCAACCCCCAACATCCGATTTATGTACTTCTTGATGGCAGGATACTCTCAGTTAGCGACTTCCACTATAGGTACTGTGAGACATGAGGAACCAAGTTCAGGAATTTCAGCCTGGCTTCTACCCAAAGGTAGCAAGAAACAGCTTGACTTCACGAAGTTTACGAATTGCCTTCAAAACTTGAAACATTGAAACTCACTTCCCCAGTAATTTGCCATGTTCGGACGGACTGACGTAAGACTCATAGACAGCGACGTTATCGTACGAACACTCATCGTTTTGTACCACCTCGATATCGAAATTGTCAAATGTGAGACGCACTTGCTTCGACTAGAACATGTGGAGATTGAATGGGACAGTTCCCCAATAACAGAGAGCTTCTCAGAAATAAGCCATGTACTAATATCTTCGTCACTTCACTGCTTAGCCAATTATTCTGAATTTACTGGTTTTGAAAAAGTAGTCAATCGTTAAGGATAATCAGTTTTATTGCTTGTTGAATGCTATTTTATTGTACCCTCTTCGTCACTATCTCCATTTTCGTAGCTTAAGGAAGGGTTTATCAGAAATGCCCCTCTCTCATGGCACCTGCCCTAACATCGGAAGCCCATTACTACAACAGCTTTCATTTTCGATCTTCAAGGAACTTAAGGTAGAAGACAATTAGTCTAAAGGTGAATTCAGTTGCTAGTCGAAATTCCGACCCCGGCTCATTCGAGGAAATCAAGGATAGGGAAGAAATCAAGGTTGATCAGATTGTCTTTTCTTTTTGTTATCTGAAAAGTGTGAGATCTGAAAGTTTGCAAAGTGACCATCCGCGCAAAGTGAGCTTGCAAAGTGAAGCGAAACGGAAGGTCCACCTTAGGTAAGTGGTCATCCAGTATTCCCCCGTCACTTTACTCCAAAACGCTTTAGTTTTGGATTACTCTTATTAAATGAATAGCCCAATAATTGGATGTACCGAAAGGTTCTTTAGCTCAGTTGTCAACCAGTTATCCAGTAGTAAATACTTTAAAATAGCTCTAAACTCTGTATGCCTCAAGTTGTACTGTGAGCAAATCTTACCCAAGGTACTTGGATTTGATAAACACAATGCATATGTGGCAGGTATTTGTCTGGATAGTTCGGAGAGCTGATAGTACCGCTTGACTGCGAGAAAACACCTCCGCAACCTGAAGTATTTTGATATCCATTACAGCGAGAAAAACTAAAAAATGTGTGTTCAGCTCCTCTCATACCGCGAAAAAACACCGTTACCCTTAAACATTACAAAACGTATGCAACTTTCAAAGAAAAAGATTTTGTCCTCCAAACTTGACTGTTGAAGAGAGTTTGATCCAATGACCAGTGATGACAATGACCAAGGTCAAGTTACTATGAGCTCCCGAACGAAGGGCTGTCGATCAGTTTTTGCGTTACTTACAAAATTTTTCGGGCTTATGAATAGGCTTCGTCCTAGTTTGACTCTATGAAGCAGCGTTCACACATTGCGATAGACACACGACCCAAGAACGCCGTGACACATTGCTTTTCGTAGCGGTTAACACGACATGCACGCTTTATTGTCAAAACGGTGTAAGAGCTGGAGCTCAGCCAAAAGATCTACAATGGATTTAGCTTAGTCATTCTAACGGTGCTTGAAAGAATTCAGAATCGCCAAGATGCCGTGAAGGGGAATCAGTTGAGGGCGGTAACACCAACCACGGCCCGAACCCAACCTTGGACAAACGTCTGCTGACTGCTGCCAACGGTATGACATTCAACAAAAACCATTAAGTAGCGGCTGATGAAGATTGCTGCTTATTGCCACTAAGAACGTACAGTAGATTATACCGCCCCATTGCTTGTCCCTCTTTTTCGTGGTGTCCCCATCGACTATGATGTTCTCCTACCGAGAATATGCAACTTGAAGTGACTCACCAACATTGATCGTCGAGTACTCCATTAGAATACCGCGATTCTTCGGATCACCGCTGCTTACATGAGTAATAACAAGCGGTCGCGAAGCACTCATAACGAATTCGCCTTCCTCCACGAATGGGTATCGGGCACATATGTAGCGTTGATTGATTTGCTTGTCCTCCTCTTTGCCGCCAGAAAACTGAAATGTCATACGGTAAATCCTTCCCATTCCTATGTCTTTCTCGAGGGTATCGATTTGGAGACCCAAGACATCGATCGATTCCCTACCTCAACATAGTCGGTTGCCGATGCGTGAGAATCACGACTGTAGAAACACTGGCTGGTGGTCGCGCCACGCATTCCTATCGTTTTGAATCTGAAAAACAGTGGTATCGATCGATATCTACCAAATAAACGCTGGAATGACAGAGCTAGAAAATTGAAATTGGAACATGAAGGACGTAAATAGGTGCCCAACGACGTAACCTCAGGTATCATGCCAGGAGACGATTACCTATCCCTGGGCTCTTTATGGAAATATTCTTATACATGGTTATTTACCTTTGTAAATTTTCATTCAAGGCTGTAAATAACTTTTGTAATATTTCTCTCATTTTATGGATTTTCTTCACCCTTTCCCCAATTTCTGATTGTGTGTGACTGTTGAGGAGGTTCTGAGACCGTACGTTCAAGGTCTACATGAATTCGCTTGACAACTNGTGTACTTACTTGAGTCTGATCGCATGACTTGCATCGGCTCTGATCGTATAGACACACTTGCCAGCTCGGCCTCCATTTGGATAGTTCCACGTTTGAATTGTGCCATTTCCGCTCAAGGTCTTCTCGCAGACTGTAATTTCACAGCTTAAATCCGATTTCTGTAGACAATTTTTCAAGAACCGTCTGAAGCGAAGTTGTTTCCTTGAACGGGTCATTTCAAACGAACCGTAACCTATCTGGATTGCGAATTTGATGAAAATCACCTTTCATACAACCGCTGCCATGGCGGGAACATTTAGGATCACCACGATTCATCAAGAGACATGAAAGCGTCTTCATAGCGCATTCTCACCTAAACTGTAAGCGATTTTGAAGCCCTTTCCTTGATCGGCACCATTTGAGTGGAACCGTAGAACGGCCTGTGGCATGGGCATCAACATCTTTGGAGGAGGACGATGGGCATTACAGCCATCATGGACTAACTGGCCATCGGC